AAGCCCCAATTTTTTATTCTTAGATTCAACAGACATAAAATTAGTCTGTCAACTTGCTACAGAAATTTCTAAATGCTTACTCTCCGTTACTATACTTACCTCATCACAGATCTGAAACAGTTTATGGACTAGCTCTGGTCCACAGACCACATAGCATTGCTGGTTATTCAGAACTGGAGTTCTATTCTTTACATGTTAAATTTGAGATGCAAAAAAGTATACCCAGAAATCTACCCAAAACTCTTGAAAAGTAAACATTTAAAAAGGAAGGCTAATATGACAGAGAAAATTGGACACCTGTAACTCGCAACGAATTGTTTTTTGTTGTAGTTTTCTTCTCAAATAAATTTCAGGGCCCACTAATTTTGAATGTGCTTTATAAGCAATGATGATCAACTCATAATTAAGGTTAAAAAAAAAAACCTGTAGCAAAGTGTCTTACTGTGCCTGTATAGCATACAGGAAAGGAACATGGGCTATCAAGTGAGAGGAAATTAGAATACAGTCCCCACTCTGCCACTTCCCGGCTGTGTGGCCTTGGGCCAGTAACACAGCCTTAGGACACATGTCTCTTTATCAGTCCCTGACTGGCACAAACAGTTAAGCACTTGGCTGCTAACCTAAAGGCTGGCGGTTTGAACACACCCACAGGCACCTCAGAAGGAAGGCCTGGCAATATGCTCCTGAAAGGTCACAGCCATGAAAACTCTATGGAGCACAGTTCTACTGTGCCAACCTGAGGTCGCCATGAGTTGGAGTCAACTTGACGGCTACTGGTTTGGTTTTTGTCTGTCTGTTTGCTTTGCGGGGTTACTCTGAGGATTAAGGGGGATTTTGCACATTAAGAACTTAGTACAGTGAGTGGTGCACACTGAACGCTCAATAAACGTCAGCCATGTTGGCCACAAGTTTGGCAAATGGTGCTCCTCCCATGCGAAATGAAATGGTGTCCAGCACAGTTTTCTCAGAGTGGGCTACCCTTGTGGTGTTTCCATCATGCAGTCAGGCAGAAAGAGTTGAAAAGGGGTGAGCACAAATTTGAGGTATAGGAGCTGGCTGTGCCCCCAAGGTCCTCATGAGGAGAGAGACTCCTGCTCTTCAGCATAAAACCAGAACCACTGAAGCATTGCTAATTTTGGCACCAGCAACAGATCCAGATTTCACCCCTATCAAAAACTGTCCTTCCCATTCCCTTACAAAACTTTTCTTTAGCTAAAACTTAAAGTTTCTTGACAATGAACTCAATTTACTGTCTGGAAACAGAAGCTGGGTTTGTTTTGACTTGGCAGATGGAACTTTGTGGATCCCAACTGATGAGATATATCCCTGGTTCTGTCTCTTGACATTGTGGACCTTTAGCAAGTTATTCGGTCTTCTGCATTAGATTCCCATCAGTGACAGGGGGTTGTTAATATGCTGCCTCCATGGTTGAGGAGTGTGAGTACCCATCTA